ATTATGCGCAAAAGTTTTTGAGACCAAATAGGTCTTACGTCTAATTACCAGTTAGCTTTACATTTTCTTTTTCAATTATATATATATATATATATATATTCAATACTTTTTAGGAAATAAATTATTATATATATATATATATAATAATAATAATAATAAATAATAGTTACTTGTTAGATTTACAATTTCTGTTTCAATTATATATAATAATAATAATAATAATAATAATAGTTACTTGTTAGATTTACAATTTCTGTTTCAATTATATATATATATATATATATATATATTTAAATTTAAACAATTAAAATTTAATTTTTAACAAATACGTATAAAAGTAAAAAAGCAAATTTAAATCCTAAAAAAGGAAAAAAAAAGCCAAATAATTTTTTAAAAAAACGTGCAAACATATAAAAGATTTAATACTCGAACTAATCTACAATATAATTTAAATTCAGAAGCATAAGCAAATCAAGTGCAAAAACAATCCATAAAAATAAAATTACTAATTTAATAAATTAAAATTAAATTAATTTTTTTTCCCTTAAAATGCGTATGTGAATGACCGTTGAGTAGGCAAGAGACAGACTTATCAAGGGAAAGTTGCCTCCAAACCTAACTCTCCAATCATTCAATTCGTGTTTCGTCATTCATGCAGGCAAGGGTAAAAGTCAAAACCAAAAGTAATTTCAATAAAGTGATACATTTAAGAATTAAAGTTCAAAAAGGAAAATACTAATGAAGTCTTTTGAGAAACAAGCAAGTAAAGTCAAGAATTAAACTTTTTTTTAAAAAATTAAATTTTTAAAAAAAAATTAATTTTATAAAAAAATAATAAAATAATCTAGAAACCAATGTATTTTAGAAACCCTTGTCTACAGAAACCTCCAACCTCCCCTACACGAATATGCATATCAATAAAAAGAAACTAAAAAAGAACTAGACATTCTGTAGACAAGGGTTTCTAAATACATGGTTTCTAGATTATTTTATTATTTTTTTTATAAAAAATTAATTTTATAAAAAAAATTAATTTTTTAACAAAAAGTTTAGTTCTTGACTTTACTTGCTTGTTTCTCAAAAGACTTCATTAGTATTTTCCTTTTTGAACTTTAATTCTTAAATGTTAATTTCTAAGGGAACCACTTTATTGAAATTACTTTTGGTTTTGACTTTTACCCTTGCCTGCATGAATGACGAACGAAATCTGTAACTGGAAACTTGCCTAGTAGGGCACTAAAAAAAAAGTGCAAACTAAGAAAAAAAAAAAAAAAAAAGAAAGAGACATAGAGACCAAAGACTGGATTTTGGCACAGTAAATTACAAAGATGTGAAAAGAAAAATAGGTGCTAAATTAATTGCACTGCTGAAATTTTATGAACAAACATCACACTAAGCAAATGGTCAGAAATTATTAGTTTTTTAACCCTAACTCAATTACAGCCATGAATGGACTATCTATATTTCACTATGAAATTAATAATGTATAGCGCCGTTGTAAAGCATTTGTGAAAGTAACTCAAACTATTCAGTTACTGTCTATTTTATAGGTTATTTAATATTCCGATTCTTATCATTTAAACTTTATCCAAATGTAAAATAGTAAAAACTTTTGTGCATATTTTAAATGCCAAACATTCTTTAAAGGCGTAAAAAATAGCAAAGAAAATCAAATTAAACAATCTATAAAACCTTTAAATAATACGAACGTAGAGGGAAAGTTAAATTCATATGGTGAGTATGAAGCCTATAGCTATGGACTCAAATGTATTCTCAAGCCGCTTAAAATTGTCCGCGGGTTCATGTGGCCCACGAAGCAATTTAAACGGCCTGAAAATACATTTTCTGCAAGTTAATTAAAATTACTTTCATATTAATTATTATGACAAGAATTTCAGAAAAAGTTTAAAGTTTTAACGTTAGGAGACAAGTTTCATATTATTTTCACGGCAATTATTAAAAACAATTCTGAAAATTTGAAATGATGAAAGATTAAAAACTGCAGAAAATCTACAAATGGAGCTAATTAATTTATACTCTGACATAAATTAAAGATCTGAAGATACAGATTTGATTAACTTTTTTCGTACTTTTCAGAAGACAAACAACATTTACGATTTTTTGAAGAATTATCGTTTCGTTTGTTTGGATTTATATGTGAACAGTTCTTCCTCCCCCTGCAGTTGGAAATTAACCCTCTGCACACGAAGGAGACTCTCGGTCACCACTTAGTTTTGATGCGCAACTTGATAGGTGACTCTCGATCACCTCTCAGTTTGACACGATAATTTGAGCGGTAACAAAAGTGATAGTAATTCCGCAGAAGAGAGAGAGAAAATTCTGAAATAAATAACGTGCATAGAATCCAAAGAAAACATGGTTACACAGACAATTACAAATTATACCTGACAGCCACACATAAACAACATTATTTCTCTCATCCCATCGGAGGTCTTCAAGTACATCTCCATGCTTAAAATCAGCAAAAGTCCAGGCATTGACTGCATCTCAAACAAGATGATTAAGAAAATGGGAATGCATATGCTTTTCAAACTCATCCAGATTATCAATCATATGCTTCGCCTTGGATACTTCCCAGCTAGCTGGAAAACGCACTAATTCTGAATCATTGCACCAATTACCTCGACATGCTAATATTCCCTTCTTCCATGACTTCACCAATCACTAAGTGAATTATGAACTCAAACATGTTCGAAAATCTTCAGTTGTTTTTATACTGGGATAGCGAAAAGCATCGCGGGTACCCAAGAGAGCGTCGGCATCGCGCCTGAATCGAAGAAATACCGCAAAGAATATCGTTTGTACTTGGCGAAAGAGCCGCAGGACCGCAAGGTATCTTCAGCCTTAAATTAGGTATCTTTAAATGGCCATAGAAATCATTATCTAATTGTGTATGAAATCATCAGCATGAGGTTAGCTACCAGAAATTCACCAAATATGCAGAAAATCATCTCGAAATGCCGGTTCGCCAGAGCGAAAAAAAGCCTCGAGTACAAAAGTTTAATAAGTCCAAGAAAGACACATATTGACCGATGAGCTTTGACGAAGATAATTTCTAGTAATTTTTCTTTAAGTCTTTATGAAAATCGTAAGTTGTAGTAAGAAATAAAGAAGTTTACAATTATTTGCATGAAAATGTGTTTTTTTATATGCGTCAAAGAGAAATTTAGCAAATACAAGAATAAGAACATGATTGTCATTATTCTCAAGTTTTGTCCTATTCGGCAAGTTTTTGTAATTTGTTATTTTTAGTTTTAACAAGGTTCGTATTAATTAATTCAACATATTAGAATTATCTTAAATAAATATCAGTCTGAAAACTTAATATTTAGCTGTCAATACGCTTGAATTACAAAGTGTAACCAAATGAAAGTTTTTGCAGATGCCAAGCTTTAGATATCAGACAGAAAATAAATTGGAATTTTTTTTCTTTTGCGTCATTGTTATTACTGTTAATGTATGTTTTTATAAATATTAGTAAATACAATTTAAAATTTAGTTAAAAAATTGTGTTTCGATAAAATAAAATTTCAGCCCGTTAGCAGCTCTGAGAGAGTGCATTTGGACCGCATGCAATTTGAGTTTGAGACTACTAGCTTATGTTCAATCAGAAATAACGTCCACTTTCAAAAAAACACTAAATCAGCAACACTAAAATTCTCACAGTGGTGGGGATGATGCCCTGAGTTTAATTGTTAAAAGCTGAGGTAATGGCACGCAAAAGATGTAAATGTGAAACAGAGAAGAGTCATGTATAAAGAACTCACTGCTGTTGAAATTCATCGCAAGAGTCAAGTAACTAACATCTGCAATTTTTGTCTACCTGGCCGCATGTCAAAATAAAGCAGTACACCTGATTACTTAAAGTACGTCTGATTGTTTAGAATTACACTTTTTAACTACATATTTCTTTATAAATACGCAAAATACCTGAAGTAAGTCAATGTGTCTTTTCAAACCTGAAATCCTACTGATTTTCTGTAATCATTGCTGAAAAAAAGTTAGCCTACTTAAGTTTTTGCTTTCACTCACACTTAAAGGGGAAAATCCTCTTCGAATGTTTTCTGTTACGAAAGGCAGGTAACAATTTAATCCCTTCGTAAAAGTGAAATAAGGTACACCAAACTTTTACAATAATAATGCCATACGATTCGTTAATTTTAAGGTTTCAGTTCTCCCTGTTCCATTTATAATATTGGTCCTTAATAATCAGCAGCAGCGATGAAATATTGATTAGAAATTTAAAAGAAGCATGAAAGTTATAAATTTAATATCAAACAAAATTAAAATTTAAGACTGAACTAAGTCACTTAAAGGAAAGTTGCATGCATTTTACAAACAGTCTTCTGCAAGGAATAAAAATGCTCCATTTTTGAGTGAAATGCTTAGTTTAAATAAACAAAATAAACACTAATACACATTAACTAGAAAACTAAATACACAGATTAAGGGCAGTAGTGATCTTGAAAGATATCAGGTACCTGCTCCAGAAAATAGACCTAGTATCGACAGGGAAGGCCGAATTTCACTTTTACCTGGCGGTACGATGTTGGCTTCCACGCGAAAATCCCAAAATTATGTACCATCTTCAAGGATATTTTAGGTCTCCGGGCGCCGCATCTCTGATCATTGATAAACATATGGTACAACATAAACAACAGCAACAGCAACGACAGAATAAACAACAGCAACGACAGAATGCGAGCTGACACCGGGACACGCCAAAAGGGCCAATAAAGGTTTGTGCCTTTTTTTAATCATTCATTTGCTTTTAGTTCATCTACTCAAATGACGTTTTTAACGAAATTACGTAAATTTTTCTTGGCTTCTTGGAGAAAAAAGCATGCATCAAGTTCCCTCCATACGCCTACTGCTTTTCTGTAAAATAATGTCTGCTTAAGATTTGCCTAGGCTTTTAAAGTATGCTTATAGTTAGTATCATTTTCAGCAACTTTAAATCATATATCATAAATTCTTACTTTCTGTTAAGTAGAACTCTTATATCTTCGTAACAAGAGGAGTTGTTAGTTGGTTCCGTGTCCACATCCTCATCTTCGATATACTCATCGTGCTCTCTGGGTGGAGGGAGGCAGGTTTGGTTTGTTTGAAGTTCGGCTGTGAAATATGCTTCATGGACTGCTACGAAGCTATCATTTCCACAATCCAGATGGAAGATATCATTGTAGCAAGTCACTTTTCGACGGAATTCTGAAACAGAAAAATAATGTAAACCTAAAGTTACTCTGTCAGAATCTAATGAGTATTTATGAATTAACGCAGCCACCTTGGCTCAATTTTGCCGATTTTTTAGAGATGAAAAGCAAAGTTATATATCGGGTCCTAATTGGTGGTTTACTCGCCTTTTTTTAAGTCGGTAAACATTATCAACATATGAAAAGAAAGCATATTTTAGTATTTAAAATACGAATTTTAATCATTAAAAAAGGATTACGCGATACATTAAAAAATAAAACACTTATATTCTTATTCAAATCTTTCTGTAATATTTTTACGCTATCGTTTTGCGATTAATTTATAACGCCGTTAGAGGGCGCTTCTTTTCTGTATACTGAGAATCTTGTTTAGTTAACGATGTGACTTTGATCAGGGAAGTAATGCTATCCATCAGTGCCCTCCCGGGGCCTTGGAATAAATCATTTACTTTTGTAAATATTGATTGTCTTCTCCCAATGTTTACATATTTTCGGTGCATCTGCGGGGAATGGTTACAAAACCAGGGCATAAATTCACCAATTCAAAAACGGAATTTTTACATACGCAACGATGAACAGCAAGGATGCCGTAGTAAGAAATCTGTTTGTGACATTAAAATTGTGAAAAAGAGATGAATAATTATTAGGCATAAGAAAATTCAGTAACGTTTTGCAGTTTCTCAGAATTGTGACATGATGAAACGTTTTGCAGCTACAGCAAGAAAACTGCCTGCTAATAGTGGCCCAATAACTGTTTCTGAAATTAAGGACCCTGAAATATTCTGTGTTCGCAAAGCTCAGATGGATTTCTTCACACCTGAAATCAGAGCACTTCAATTTGAATAGTCATTTTCCCGAGCTTTAGTATATTCAGCTTTCCACCGTTACATGATGAAAACCAAATTCTTCGAATTAAAGGAAGATCAGAAGAAACCGATTATACAGTAATATACGAAATTGCGAATATACAGTATATAACGAAGAACATCCATTTTGTCCTAACACTCCATATTTATTGATTCAACACTAAAGAGAGAAAATAACAAAATGCTATACGCAGGAGTTGCTACAACTTTAGCAAAACTACGACAGAACTTAAGGATTCCCCAAAAGCCGCAATTTAGTGAAGAAAATCAGAAGAAGCTGTCTAGTATGTAGAAATTATGCAGCAAAACCAGCGAAACAAATGACAGTTCAATTACTTTAAGGTATATTCTCCCTCCTTTCTGCATGCCTTCGTGGTAGTGATGGGCAACTTAGGTACTTTCTTGTACCCGATACGAAAGTAACGGGTACAGACAAGTACCCAGTACAAAATACCCGTTACTCAAGTAACCGTTACTTTGAAAAGTACCGAAAACCGATTTCAAGTACCGAGTACCCAAGTAACGATTTGGAGTACCGAAGTAACGAAATACCGGAGTAATGGTTTGCTGTACCGCAGTACCCTAGTAACGATTTGGAGTACCAAAGTACCCTAGTAACGGTTTGCAGTACCGAAATACGCAGCTAACGATTTTGCGCACTGAATGAACTCTGCCACGTCATCACGTGTTTGATTTTATTTGTACGGAGTTAAGATTTTGAATATCAGAAAACATGTCAACTACGGAAGTGTCTGAGGAGCAGGCCATTCACGGACACAAGAAGCGCATATCACCATTTCGCAAATACAACCAGATACTACTGTCCTCGTACCAAAACCGAAGTGAGCTGAACCCTCATCGATCCTCCAGTAACGAATACCAAGATACCGAGAGGAGACGCATATTTTCGTTACAAAGTAGCGAATACCGAAAAGTGCCCGTTTCGGTACAGAGTAACGAATACCGAAAAGTGCCCGTTTCGGTACAGAAGTAACGAATACCGAAAAGTACCCGTTTCGGTACAGAAGTAACGAATACCGAAAAGTACCGATTTCGGTACTGAAGTAACGGGTACTTGGGTGTACCGATTTTCAGTACCCGTTACAACTAAGTACCCGTTACAAAATACCTGGTTCGGTAGTACCGACTCATCACTACTTCGTGGTGTAACGGTAGCACACTCGGTGCGCATACGAGAAGTCCAGGTTCGAGACCCGCCGAGGGCATTGTTCATTTTAACTGTTTCTTACTTCAAAAATCCTAATGACTCTACAGTGGTGCCCGAACTAAAAACAAAAGGTGGTGGAAGATAATTCTCCATTCTTCATGACTCGTGCTTCTAAGTAATCCTAATGACTCTACAGTGGCGTCGAAACTAAAAGGGTGGTGGATGATGATTTTCCACACCCAGGATTTGGCGATTGGATCCCCTAATCCCCAGTCGCCCTTTAAAAGGGGAAGTATACAAGGTATTCCTCCTGCCTTCTTATCATGCCTTCATGGTGTAGTGGTCAGCACGCTCGACGCGTATTCGAGAAGTCCGTGGTTCGAGTCCCGATGAGGGCATTGCTCATTTTTCATCTCTCCTGCTTCGAAGAAAAATTCTAATGTGTCTACAAGGTTATTAGCCTCACGCCCAAACTGCAATCAGGAAGATCAGTCCACTGATATAATACCCATGGGCAGGATACCCAGTTATGCTCCCGGACACAGCGTACCTATTTTAGTCGCATTTTACCATGGAGGTAAGAATGAAAGGAGGTGCCAACTCCCCATTACGACTGACGCAGTGATTTCAAGCTTTGGTCTCCATAGCGGGGTGTTTTTAGTTTACATCCAGAGCATTCTTGACGGTGCTTTGATAGTATTTCCACGCACGACAGTTTCAAAAGCGGGGACATTTCCGCATAAAAGAAACATTCATTGTTGGATAGATAATTACAATTTGTCTAGTTTAATTTAATGGCATTTACGAAAAAATCACATCTTGGTTATTTTTTGATAACTTACAACAGGAATTTTGATTATGAATTTGTTTTAAAAATTTCTAAGCTACTGGACTGCAACAATTGTAGATTTTAGCAAAATGTTTATGTTATGCGTAAAGAATGAAAAATACGTGAAGGTACCTTTAAAATGTCAAAATATCGAAAAAATATAACACACTTTAAACGTCAATTTTCTTATAATTAAATGGTATATACGTGAAAATTTGTATAACTCATACATTTATATATTTTTAATTATTTGTATAAATTTGTATTAATTATTTGTGATTTGTATTTCATTCAAATTTAATCTGGAAGGTTACTGTATGATAAACTAAGCGATTTAAAAGCAATAAACGCAGTTCTTAAGAATAATTTTTTCTGCTTATTAATGTGATTGATTTAAATAAACATATATTACAATCATGGTATTTTTAATTAAAAGTATTCAATATTTTTATAAAATTACAGTAGATGGGCTCATTAAAATCATCACATACTTTTTCTTTTTTATGATAACTATTTTAGACGGTTGGTCACAAGAACGGCTAATTTTTAAAAGCGAATATAAAAATATGCATGGCAACCCCTAACCTTCTGCCAGGAGTCTAAAGATATGCTGTTTTTAAACATTTTGCGATTTTGGTGTTGAATTGAATTTTATGTGAAATAAGTGCAAAGAACGTGATATTTAAATAAATAAAGTTAACACATAAAAAGTAGCAAGAAAAGCAGATTCATTTCAATTATTATTAACTATTATGTGAACTCGTGAAATTAATACACTAGCTGGATTCATTAAAATCATTACGCATTTTCTTCTTTTTCATAATAACCATTTTCGGCGGCCAGTCGCGCAAGCGGCTAATTTTTAAAATAAAAACATCTGAAATAAGGTCCATCATTTTGGATAACTTTTGATGTGCACTGCGAAAAAAAAAAGACAGTTCTATATCTCCTGTTCTGCTGGGTCGACTGACGAAATTCAACTTGTGTTTTTCATATTTCGAAAGCACGCCCTAGGATTTGTATTAAATTTATATACAGCGTTGTTCTAATATAGGTATTTTGACACAAAATCGGATTTTTTTTTTTCTGAAATTACGCCAGACTGCCAAGTTTTGTAAAAATCGCACGAGTAGTTTTTAAAATTAGCTCCTCAATGTTAATTGATTTTGGTGTATATTTATTCATATATCTTTTATATTAAACTTATTTGATTCTTCCTTTTACATTTCGAAATAAGGTTCATTCCAAATAAAATTCGTCCATTTTTTATGATTTATTTTTTAAATAATTTTTATAAATTTTTCGAAAATAATTTTGAATCTATGAAAGTTTTACCATCATCTTAAAGTAAATGTATTTCTAAGCAAACCTGCAAAAAATTGCAGTTTTTTATTCAAAATTTCCGAAGATATACGTGAATTTATATATTGGCGCCTTTTGAAATTTGGCATATTTGTTAAAATAGGTTGCCATATATTAAGAAGTTCACCAAGTGAACTATTCTTGGCGCAAACTGAAAACGATTCGCCAAGATCAATTTTTTAATTTCTCCGTTAAATTTCGCACCAAATTTTACAAAATTTATCTAGGCATAATTTGAGTCGTAGAATCGAAATATGGAAAAATATAGGTATGTTATTTCAGAAAAAGTTTGGTTTTGTGTCAAAGTACCTATGTTAGGATATATATTACATTTATATATAGCATTATTCTAAGTCGCGCTTTCGAGACATGAAAAAAGCAATTTGAATTTCGTCAATCGGCCGAGGAGAACGGGAGATACAGAACTGTCCTTTTTTTTCCCCCGCATTGTGCATGCCCTTATCAAAAACTGCATTCCACAACAGAAAGACATAAAGAAGCTGGTTACCCTAAAAATAATTAACCGTAGAACGTTGAAATTTCATATTCGCAATGGCTATAACATCTAGTCCTGTATCTCGAGTTTTTATTGCAATTGGCAACAACCATATATATATATATATGTTCACCCACTTACCCGGCTTAAAAGTTTTTAGTAAAAGCATTTACCCGGATTTTCACAATCGTTGATCAAAATCATGTGATTCCAATTACAAAAGCGTTTTATATGATGAAAATATTAATGTTTTGTCAATATCAAATTTAAAAAA